AGAGTTTGCCAAACAACGACATCTACTAAAAAAGACCTTCAGGCCGTTTTTCTGGCCTGAACAACTTTATCCTATGGACAGATGAGACCAAGATCAACTGTACCAGTGTGATGGATGATAGCGAAGAGTATGGAGATGAGGAAAGGAACTGCTCATGATCCTAAGCTACCACTTCATCAGTGAAGCATGGTGGGTGGTTGCAGTGGTCTGTCGTCGTGCATGTTGATGGCTGCCAAACTCCGAACTGGTTCTCTCTAGTATTTAATTGATGATGTGACTGCTGACAAAAGCTAATCACCGAATCCTGAATTCTGAAGTGTTTCCTTGGCCAATATTATCTGCTCATATTCAGCCAAATGCTTAACATCCTCATCGGGACCCGCTTCACAGTGCAGATGGAAACAGTGACCCAAAGCCAGACTGCAAAAGGCAAGCAGGGAGAGTTTTTTAAGGGAACGAATCATGTGAAATGTTATGCATGGCCAAGTCGGAATCAGACTCTGACCTGAATCCGATTGAGCATTCGCGCCTTATTTCACTGGCTGAAGACAAAATCTGAAGGGACGGAAAATGCCACAGAACAAGCAGGGAACTGAAGAAAGTTGCAGTAGGGCCCTGGCAGAGCATACCCAGGGATAGTCATTATTTCTTAGCGCTATGGGGCCTTAATTCTTTTTGACTTGCGTTGAATTTATTATGCGGCACCATCTAGAAACGCTCTAAAGGCCTATATTGGAATCAGATAGATTTCTAATGGTTCGAACCTATTAAGGTCAGTATATCGGTGGGGGCCTGTGTGTGTGTGGAAGAGAGACACCTTCTTGTCTTTTAGTTTTCCCACTTGGAATTTAATTGGGCCTAGAAAAAGGTGGTTTTTGATATATCAAAACCACCCTTTTATCTAGCTATTTAGCTTCCAAAGATAGGCTATAGAGATTCTAGGGCATGGCAATCCGCATAATAAACCTCCAAGCCAAAAACTAAACAGGCCCCCGACCTAATGGCCACGATCAACTCCTATCCTCTCTATGATAGGACCATCAACGACAGTCCCTTTCAGATCAGGCACAAACCAAGGGTCCTTTCACCATACTACCGTAACCTGCCATGGTGCTCCCACCACTCTTAACACCCTAATAAATCTCCTAGGAATTTTCATATACTGTAAGCCACCGCAAAGGAATTTTTCTAATCCCCCTAAAGGCCAGAGACCCACATTTGCTGTTTCCAACAAATTATCCCTCAATGGCTCCAAGAAAACCCAAAATTGAAATGGATATCAATATTAACAATAACCGAGGAACAAACACGTTTTTTGGGGCAGGCCCGGATAAGAAAATGGGGGAGTACAGACCAAGAGGTAAGAGGGAGGAAGAGAGTGCATAGATGTGCAAAAAAGAAGGAAGACTATAAAGGCAAGTGAATCTTTAACCTTAGTGGTACACTCTCTGGCCAATGAATTAAAACTTCTGGCAAGGGCAATGAAGAATTAAATTGTTTTTTTTTGACATTTTTTTCTTTGTTTTTGTTGAACTGGACAATGGGCAGTGAAATATGCACCCGCCTCAGACCCTTAACAAATTCGAAAACATTTATAGACGTACATAAATTTGCTAGGAAGTTGTCCATTAAAAGGCACTTTCTTAATACATCCTATAGCACGAGCGAGGCGGTTATTAATAAGAATAAGAATATCGTCAAACCTAAGTTAATGCTGGGGTGCAAGTAAGGCACCTAGAATACCACCCATCTTCTACATTTTACCTAGATTAAAAAAAACCCTTTGTAAACCCCCCAGGTAGGCCGATAAGTCAGTGGGATCAACTCCCCTGTGTTATAAGATTGGGGTCATACATAGGATTATTATCTTCAGCCACTGGTAGTCCATACCCCTTCGTACCTAAAGGACACCAAAACAGGTTCTAAATGCCATTAAAGATGCTGTTATTACTCCATCTACTTCTATTGTTACAGCTGATGTTAATCTTTTATTAGTAATATTAACCATGTGAATTGGATCATGAGAGCTGCGGAATGCTATCTTAGACAGCACACGCCCTCTAAGCATACTACACATATCAATTTTGTCATGGACTTACTGAATTTGCTATGAATAAGAACTACATTGTGAGCTTCGATAGCAGATATACTACCTGCAGATTAAGGGCGTGCTATGGGGGCAAAATTGCCCCCAGCCTCGCCAATCTGTTCAAGTCCTATTGGGAAGAAATAGATTATATATATTGCAGGAGACTGGCCAGAGCCTGGCCATTTACAGGAGCATACATAGATGATGTTCTTCTTTTGTGTGAACGGTAATGTGCAAGTCGCTTGAGAATTTCTTTATTTTAAATTATAACAGCAACATACAGGTCTTACTTACAATTACAGTTATGAGGAAGTTAACTTTTTAGACCTCCACTTTGATGAAGGTGGATTGGCAGGATTGTTACTAAGTCTTATTTTCAATCGTCTGATCGTAACAGCTGCATTCCTTTGGATAGCTGCCAATCACCTTAACTGGCTCGCAAGTTATCCCCAAAGGGGGTACAGTTCTTGAGATTGAGAACAAAAAAAAGGAATGTACCAATACCCCAGACTTTCAGATACAAGCGAGCATTTTGAAAGAATACGTCTTTTAGAAAAAGGCTACGAGTGGGGGAATTTTAGATAATATCATTACAGAAATAACCCATTGTGAGCCAAGATTAACTTCTTGGCACCAAACTCTAGAGAGGCACATAGGATATCATTTGTCCGTTTGTTACGCCACCTTTTCTGTACAGCGCAGATCAATAAACCTTATTATTAAAAACTGAATTCCTTAAAGCGGATCCATAGTTTTTGATGAGAAATACTTCCGGATACACCCTGAGGTTGATTTTTCGTTCGGAGACCTGCCACTCTGAGAGACAAAATATCCCCCAGACATTATCAATCCTCCATGCTAAAGCCCCTCTCGTTGTTTAATGCATGAACGGATTTTACACCCCTGTAAATAGGTGTATTGCCCTGTAAAATCAATGGGAGTAGAAAGAGGAAAATCAGTACCTACTGTTCAAATCAAACTCATAAAAAAACATATGAGATTGATCATTCAGTTTATTTGCAGTGTAGCAAATTTGTGCATTTGCTTGAATGCCCATGTTCCAAACAATATATTGGGGCCGGGACAACAAGAAGGGCTGAGAGGGACCAGTCTCTGTAGCATAATTGCAGAATATTAGAAAAAGGATATAACACTTAAATTCGTTGGTATTAATTTAGTTACTCCACATTGGAGAGGTACACACAAAGTAAGGGCGGTCTCCCAATTAGAGACAAAACACATTTTTGAGTTAGGTACCCTCCATCCTGCAGGGCTAAACATTGATTTAGACCTTAATTGTTTTATTGCCAATAGTTAGTGTGTATTTTTTATCTATGCTCTTTGACTTTTAATTTTGATGAATATTGTTTGCTATAATTTTTTATGTATTGTTTTATGTGTTCTTATCCTATCATGACAGGTCTTATTAATTTAGATTAGCTAGAGTGCATCTCTTCTTATCTATGGATAGACTAATATTTATTAGTTGACATTTTATTATTTATTTATCTTTTATTTTATTTTTTTAATTTTTGTTCATCCTTTTACTACAGATCTTGGTATAGATGTATTTAATTTGTGTTGATTAACATCTGCTTGTTATATTTTCATGTATCATCTATTTAAATTATAATTTATACATGTTTTGTCTCTTTAACCTTTGGGATATTATGTTATCTTTTTCAGTCCCATTGAGCTTAGGGATGCTTAGTAATCTACCGATACATGCTCGGATATCTACCCTTGGCATAATGATATAGTTATTATATTCGCGTTGATTCAACACATTAGCGCTGTCGCGCTTATTTGTTACTTAGACCTGAGCTATTTCCATGTAAGTGGCGTATTCACGCCGGTGTTGAACTTTCTTTTGGTGACATTAATCACCAGTAATATGGCGCGCTGGAACGCTCATAAGTTGCATGTCTCTGGGCTGCATTAAAAAAAGAACAACGCATATGCGCCTGAACTACTAGAAAATGATGCATAGGATAACGCGCATGCGTCATTATGCCTATATAAGATCGCCAATTGCGTCATGGCGTTACTGGTTCCATACCTCTGATGAAGTGCTTTGTGCGCATGTAACGCATAAGGAGGAGCCTGGACGTCGAGACACTACGCCGCCGGAGCCACGTGGAGGCCATCATTTTATCTTCTAGGGTTAGTTCAACCTTTACACCTAGATGATACATGTTTTCTAAAGTTGATACTTTGTCCGTAATAAAGCAATTGATTCTATAAAATACTACACTATGGGCATCCTTCCCTGAGAGGAGTACCATTTTACAGAGTCCTTTACCAAGAATTCAGGCATTTACCAAGAAGAGGAAGATCCCCTGTAAGCAGACGACCCCTTCCGTCCATCCAGCTGTAGGAGACCTCTGGTTACCTGGATCTGTTTAATACTTTTGGATAAGCTCTGCATCCTTGAGGGAAGATCAACCCATTCTGACCAGACCAGTTTTCTCTTTGATTGAGGATCCATGGGCTTTGATGCATACCGCTTACTCATATCTGTCTTCTGGTGAGTGCGCATTTCTGCTTTTCTTCACGGATCACCACCAATGATTCCTACTTGTCATCTGGCACGTTTTTATGATTTAGACTTATAGTGGACATTTTCAGACTTTATCATTTAGCGCTGCACTATTGTTGATATTACTCTGTTTAAGTATTTATTGGTTACTTAGAGTGCTTAGCTGCTTTTTTGGTTAGTGCTCACTCTTCTATTACATACACAGATGTAACATATATGATGTATGTAGTGCGGTGTGTAGATAGAAAATATATGATGTATGTAGTGCGGTGTGTATACACGGTGTGTAGATGTAAGATATATGATGTATGTAGTGCGGTGTGTATATACAGCGTGTAGATAGAACATATATGATGTATGTAGTGCGGTCACCTCTCTTCTCTAGATCTTCTCTCCCATTGTTGATGTGTTTCTTCAGGAACTTTATACATTCATTCTCCAGATAATTCTTCCTAATCTCCCCCTCTCTGACCTCCGGACTGTTCCATCTCTGTGTGGAGATCTGAGCCTCATTCATGGTCGGGATCCAGTTCCATCCCTGTGTGTCCAGAGACATGAATTCTCTCCCATCATATCCGTACTGCTGATACCCCGCAGTGGTGCCGTCATCTCTCAGCTCACAGCCGTACATCACCTGAACGATATGGATCCCTGCGAAAAAGAAGAGGGAGATGAGAGCTGATGTAGCGGTAAGATAGGTGTCTACACTGGGAACCCAGAAGAGAACGGACATCTCCTCTATACAGAGGACCCTCTACTATAATGTACCAAAACCTGGGCGGCCACCCCTCCCCACACTCAGCTCTGCATCACACATATCAAGGAAAGTTGAGAATCCCAAATCCCACAAACCTTCTCCTGTACAGGACTAGGATGACCTCTGATGGGACCGGGATCCATTGTGAAGCCCGGGGAGCTCAGGGACAGGAAGGACCAGGAGTGAGATGAGGACTTCCCATGGATCTTCCTTCCAGGTGGTATTTAGGGGGAATCCTCATATACAGAGATGATATGTTAGTCCAAGGTCACTAGGAAATGGGATCTCCCACATGGAGGGTCTTCCATCATAGTCCGGAGACCTGCCTTCTGCATTGGAGTACACAGCTCACTGCTGGAGGACACATCCTGTACATAACAATTGTATTCTGGGTGCCCATTAACAGCGCATTGCTGGCGTGATGTGCGGAACATTGCAGAAATATATACCATGTACACTGGATGTACTGCATGTCACTGCACTGCTGAGCAAACACACCCGCCTGTGTGAATGAGGCCGTATACATCTGCTGGGGGGACCTGTCTGTCATTTCTGGTGAAGCCTTCATCTGTCAATACACACAGCAGACCTGACAGGGGACAGCTCTACATACTTCTCTATGGAGTCCCAAGACAGGAAGTCAGCTGTGCATGGAGAAAATTCTTCCCCTCACTCAGCAATGTGTGTCCTGTGTTCACTTACAAAAAAAGAAAAAACAGAATAGTTGCTCGCACACGATTGGTTGATTGAAGTGAACACAGCTTCCATTTATTTACCAATATTCACTTTGCTGAGTCAAGAAACGGTACATTTTTTATCCCCCGAGCACTCTAGACATTTATCTCCAATGTATGGGGCTCCGGGGGTTTAGCTGCAGGAGGAGGGCACTGGGGTTCTATCCAGGTGTCAGGGTCCTCTCCACGGCAGAAGTTCTGGAAGATCTGGCATTTCTGCCAGTACTCTGCATGGCCGCTGAAAGACACATCAGCCTCAGTTTGTTGCCAGATGGACTTTATAAAGAGGCTCATCACTTCCTCAAGTTGCTGGATGATCTCTAGCTCCCCGTGCCCTGTTCCTGTGTCCTGTGACTTTGACCCGTGATTTCCTGTTACCGACCTTGGCTTGCTCCTGGACCTGTGTACTCTGCCTTACCCCTGATCTGACCTTGGCCTGGCTTACGGATACTCTCTCTCTCGCGCTTACTTTTCTGTGTATGACCTCGGCTATCCCTGATTCCCCCCTGGTATCTGACCTTGGCTTGAACCGACTACCCAGTAAACATCTAAATCCTGGAAGGGCTTTGCATACCACGCACAGGCGCCTTCTGTCTGCAAACCTATCTCCATGCACTAGCTGTGCTTCTGAGTGGACCACCAACCAGCACTCCTACAGACAACCTGTGCAACTTTGGGCCTGACTCCCGCTGTCCCACTTTTATGGGAGTCCGGAACTTAGCCGCAAGGGAAGCCCTCTCTCCATTGGCCTCCATCACCAGGTACGTGGATACCAGGTCCCACTGCTGTGAGAGAAGGGCACAGGGGTCCTGTCCAGGCTCACTGCTGTGGGGGAAGAGCACAGGGGTCCTGTCAAAGGTCCACTGCTGTGGGGGAAGGGCACAGGGGTCCTGCCAAGTTCAGTGCTGTGGGGGGGAGCGCACGGGTTTCTGTCCAGGTCCACTGCTGTGGGGGAAGAGCACGGGGGGCCCTGTCCAGGTCCACTGCTGTGGGGGAAGGGCACAGGGGTCCTGTCCAGGTCCACTGCTGCTGTGGGGGTTAAGGACACAGGGGTCCTGTCCAAGTTCACTGCTGTGGGGGAAGGACACAGGGGTCCTGTCCAAATTCACTGCTGTGGGGGAAGGGCACGGGTTCCTGTCCAGGTTCACTGCTGTGGGGGAAGGGCACGGGTTGCTGTCCAGGTTCACTGCAGTGGAGGAAGGGGAAGGGGTGCTGTCCAGGTTCACTGCAGTGGAGGAAGGGCACGGGGTGCTGTCCAGGTTCACTGCAGTGGAGGAAGGGCACGGGGTGCTGTCCAGGGTCCACTGCTGTGGAGGAAGGGTTACAGGGGTCCTGACCAAGTTCACTGCTGTGAGGAAGGGCATGGGTTCCTGTGCAGGTCCACTTCTGTGGGGGAAGGGCACAGGGGTCCTGTCCAAGTTCACTGCTTTGGGGGAAGGGCACAGGTTCCTGTTCAGGTTCAGTGAAGTGGGGGGAAGGGCACAGGGGTCCTGTCCAGGTTCACTGCTGTGGTGGAAGGGCACAGGGAACCTGTCCAGGTCCACTGCTGTGGGGGGAAGGGTACAGGGATCCTGTCCAGGTCCACTGCTGTGGGGGAAGGGCACAGGGATCCTGTCCAGGTCCACTGCTGTGGGGGAAGGGCACAGGGATCCTGTCCAGGTCCACTGCTGTGGGGGAAGGGCACAGGAATCCTGCCCAGGTCCACTGCTGTCAGCCTGTTAACCACTTGCCTTCCAGAGGATTTACCCCCCGTTCCGGACCAGACCATTTTATGTGATACGACGCTGTGTTACTATAACTGTCATGCAATGCTGCACCCAAATGAAATCCGCTTTAAGACTGCCCACAGTACTTTTACTGCTACAGGGTGGCCCCTGTGCACAGGATCACGTATGTATATATATATATGGGATTCTGGCCCTAACCACGCCACCAATCGCAGCCCTGGGTGTCAGTTACCTGGTCCCACCCGGTGATTATCGGCAATCACCGACAGGGAGGAGGGTTGCATTGTTTACCATCACAGCCTCCTCCCTCTCAGTTTGGGCACGCTGCTCGGGATGGCTGAGCAGAGCCATACCGAGCAGTGTGCTTACAGTGAAGCACACCCATCTTCCCCCCTAGTAAAACACTCCCATCACACAGTTAACCCTTTGATTGCCCCTCATGTTAACCCATTCTTGCCCAGTGCCATTAGTACAGTGTCAATGCTTTTTTTTAGCACTGATCACTGTATTGGTGCCACTGGGGATGTCAGTGACACCAAGTCAGTTCCCCCCCCAGTGTCAAAATGCCTGCCACAGTCCTGCTATAAGTCGCTGATCACTTAGTATTAACAAAAAAAAAAATCCCTGTATAAATACTGCCACTTGTAAATGCTATAAAACTTTCATGACGTAAACCATTTAATATCATATTAATTTACACGTATTGGGATTTTTTTTAGCAAAGACATGTCACAGAATATTGATTTTGGCCTAAATGTATGACGAATTTTGATATTTAAATTTTTTTACTTGACATCTTTAATAGCAAAAAGTCAAAAATATTGTTTTTTTTTTTCTCAAAATTGTAGGTCTTTTTTTTATAGCGCAAAAAATTAAAAAAAAAAAACAGGCAATCAAATACCACTGAAAGAAAGCTCTATTTGTGGTGAAAAAAGAACATAAATTTAATTTTGGCTGCAGTGTTGCATGACCAAACTAGCAATTGTCAGTTAAAGTAATGCAGCGCTGTAACCCAAACCGTCTTCTTTTAACGGCTTCCTGATCGCCCCCCTATAGCAGAAATACTGCTTACGGGGTGGCATGGGTGCGTAAAATCACATATATATACGTGATTTGTGCTCCCAGTGGTTTTCTCACACCCCTCCCAGTATAGCGCTTCAGATTGACCATCAGCTACACGCAGTAATCAACGATTTAACCCGTTGATGTGCAGGAACACGCTCTGTACTACAATTTACACTACTCCATTGCTAGAATAGTGTCTGAATGGGCATCAATTTCTTTGATCAGATCAGCACTACTATCAGCGTTCACAGTCGAGTTATGAGCGATAATATTCCTCCTAGACGCTGCACATGGTGTCTATACATGTAAATGGATCTATATATATTTAGCTACTGCTAATCAGTTTTACCTATACCAAAGGTAGATACAAATATTTAAATAATTTAATATGGTGAAGCGTATATGTGTGAAATAACCGATCAAAATATATATAGAATAATATCTGCTGCGCCTCTCAATAAAGAATATATTTAATAAAGAGACACCTTCAAGTGTATAAAAGTGCGAATGTCAAATGGAACCCCATAAAAAGACTTAAATTGAAGGCTTGTCCTTAGTGACAAACAGATATCTACAATCGTCATGCTCAAGAATGATAAAGTTTTTTGTTAATAAAATCAAGGTACTGTGCTATTAAATTCCACCTCATAAGGAGGATAATAAAAATCACATCAAGTGAAACATCTAACTACATCAATTGGCACTAAATCATGCAGAATCACCCCAATTGCCAGAATGATGGATACTAATGGTATGTACCACAGCAATACACTCTTTAAAAGTGACTATGCTCAACCCGCACACAATATATTCGTACTAAATAAATTAATATACTAAATCCAGATATATGTGCTTCAGAATCATCGTACACTACGAACCCGTAACGCGTGACGCATTTTTCCGATACGTACGTACTTCCTAGACCCACTTATACACCAGCACCCTACAGTACACCCATGCACTGGGAAAGTTGTCGTCCCCTTTTAAATATCAGTGTCCATTGGCCCCTTTTTTGTTATTTATGCAATAAATTTAATTACCTATGGAGGTATTTCTGTTTGCTCCTTTATGGCCCTGGTTAAAAATTATGTATTATGAGCTTTTTTATTGATGACTTTGTTTAGGGGAGAGTCTGGTGGGGGAGGGGCCCTCGTGGAGGTTTTAAATGGAGCCATTGGAGCCGTTTTATTGATATCTTATGGTGGGAGGGATCTGCGTATAAACTTGAGCCCCTTTGGGGCGCAAAAAGGAGGTGAGGGGCAACTCTAGCCATTTAAACCCCTTCCAGACCCCGGACACTTTTACCCCCTTCCCGACCCCGGGGAAT